CAAGCAAAGGGTATGTCTGGTTGTTTGGTTGGGACGAGTCATTCATTCAATCATTCATGCTTGTTTGGTTGGCCAATATGCAGGAAACTAGCTCACTCTACAAACTCTTTGTTGGAGATGAACAGTTTCAAAGCCCTGAAAAGATTCAGAAAATCGAACTTTCTACCGTTCCCAATTCAGAATCTATCGACCAAAATCACCAGTTGGTTGTTCCAAATGGTTCAAATAACATGGAAAATGGATCCACAAACCAGCCTGAGGTAGCCTCTTTTTTTACTGGTTCAGAATAGTTGTTATCATCATTGGAAACCGATCACTCCCTTGTTCTCCCCCCTTGCTTCTTTGCTCGGTATGGAGTCGCAAGTGGTGTCTTTATTTTCAGTTAATGACTACTGATGTTTTGTAGATGCGTGAAGTGATCCGTTCTGATATGGATTATATTTCGAGAGGCGATTTCTTGGGAATTCAGGATTTAGATACCCCAGCATTTTCATCATCAAGTTCTGAAAATTCTAGTCGCCTGTCCTTCGCTTCAGATGAATATTTTGATCCAATGGCGCTACTAAGAGACATAGACCGTGACAATAACTTCGACACGGTACAAAGAGATGCTGCCTGCATCAGATCCTCTGCACCCATCAGACTAAGGACGGAGGTGGTGCATCAAGGAGGTTCAGGTTTGTCAATTCATTCAAACTTTTCTCGTCCTCGTGTTGTTTGCCTTCCATTTTTCGCATTCGTTATGAATCAAGAATAATCTGGTTAGAATTTGAAGGCAGAACAGAACATTCTGCAAATTAGTTACCTAATCGTATTTACTTCAAGAAATTAATACCACAGTGGTATGATATTGTTCACTTTGAGCATAAGCTCTCAAGCAAAGCTTTCCCAAAATACCTCATTACCATTGTTCACTTTGAGCATAAGCTCTCAAGCAAAGCTTTCCCAAAAGACCTCATACCAATGGAGATGTATTCCTTACTTATAAACCCGTGATCATTCCCTAAATTAGCCCATGTGAGACTCCCTCCCAACCATCCTCGAGTATTTATTTAGACAAAAAAAAAAATGTAAATTCTCCTCATGCTTTCAACCATAACTTCATTGCTATGCATATTCACATGTTGGGTGATAATTAGACGTAAACATACGAGTTCTCCTCGTACTTTCTGCTGCTGTTTTTTTCGCTCGAGCAGGAAACTAACAGTACAAACTCGTAACCATTTCACATCTTCTCATTCCCAGAATCTCTTGTCGATACCAACGGAAGCCACTTACCAGGCAAAGAGAGTCCAAAACCCGAGTCGGTAGTGCCCGGTTCAGGGTGCAAAGAACCAAAGCTGTTGAAAGGGGAGGCATCATCAAACTGTCAGAACAAGGTGGTGGCAAAAGGTAAAGAAGCAGCAGCAGCCATGGATGGAGGGAAGAAGAAGAAGAAGAAGAAGAGCATTAGCAGAATGAAGAAGATTCAGAAAAAGTACTTCTGCTTCTTCTTCTCATTTTAGATGTTCTTCATCATCTTACACTTGGCTGCATTATCCATATCTCCACGTATACCAAAAATGAGTTAGATTAAGTTAATTGTGTGATTTGTAACATAAATTCATCCTGTTTAATTAAGTTTAGAGTAAGTTACATTTAGTTTAAACTCTTTAAAAACTACTCCATTTATAGCTTACCAAAGTTAGTGTAATTGTAGAGCCCTGCTCATTTTTGTTTTTCCACCATTGTTAGGGGGAATTCCCGTTGTTTTTTCCTCGCTTCGAAACTCAACGCTCCTTGCCCTGCTGTTTGTTAATAATAATTGTTTTTCAGTGATTAACGTAGTTTTAAATTCCTGTTCTTTCACTCTCAAATTGTTGTTTTTTCCTCGCTTCGAACCTCTCCACCCCCTACCCTGTTTGTTAATAATAATTGTTTCTCTACACTCTCTGCCTTGTTTGTTAATAATAATTGTTTTCAGTGATTAATTCAGTAGTAAGCTGTTATTTGATCCATCTGCCTGTAAGAGAGTGTCCAAAGATTTCGAGTTACAAAGTCTCATTTGGTAGCTGATAAGATGAACTTACTCGTCTTTTTTGTTGGAAGAAACTTATAATATAGCTGACATGTTTGCACTAAAGTTTTGACCGATAAAGCTGACATGTTTACACTAAAGTTTTGACGTATAAGTCGAAAGAAAAGTTTTAACATATAATTAATTAATTTTATTATTGAGATAGGCAATAAATTATTATTTCATCCCTAACTTTAAGGTGGAAAATTTGAACTCAATGACTTTAACTACCTTCACTTTTCTAAAAGCTATCACCTTTCCAAGCTACTAAAAAAGGATTTTTTTTTATTATTTTAAATTTAAGTAATTTTTTCCCTAAAAATCATTATAAAATAATATTAATTAATTTTAAATTTAAGTAATTTTTTTCCCTAAAAATCATTATAAAATAATATTAATTATGAATTATTTAATGGATTGAGTCACCTCATTTTTGTCGTGCACAATAATTATAATTTTGGACAATTCTAATAATATTTGAAATTTATGCAGCAAATTGAAGGACGCGTGTCGTTAGGCGAGTCAACTTTGGGCCTGGGCTGGTTGAATTGCATTCATCTGGGCCGGCCCAACTTTGCTGAAGAAGCCCATTACCGTTTCGAGCCTGGGATGGTTGAATTGCATTAATCTGGGCCGGCCCAACTTTGCTGATGAAGCCCATTACCGTTTCGGGCCTGGGCTGGTTGAATTGCACTAATCTGGGCCGGCCCAACTTTGCTGAATAAGCCCATTACCGGTTCGAATTTGTCAGTTAGAATATATACAACAAATCAAATAATTGTTTAGAGATGTTGTATGAAAATTATATCATAAATTAACAGTATTTATATTTCATTCCAATTTTATTACCTTAATTTTAATTACTTAATTATTGTTAGTTATTTTATTGGTATTAATTCAAGTTATTAAAACAATTTTAGCTAATTTAATTTTTCATTCTCGCATTTTAAGTTTTTCTATTTATTTTGTAATCAATATTAATAATTACCCTCAAATAAAATTAGGTATTTAGTATAAGAATAAATTATTTTAAATGATATATATTTATAAATTTTGTATAATAAAAAAATTAAATTATATGAATAAAATGATTATTACTAAAATACTTAATTAATTTTAGTAATTATTATAAGTTTGAATAAATTAATTGTGATACATTAATGGAAGAGCTAATTAATAATAATAATTTTTTTGAAAAAAAAAAAGAAAAATAAGAAAAAGGGAAATGATTAAATAATAAAAAAAATTAGAAGTTGTTAGAGAGGTTAGGGCAGGGTAGGGCAGGTCAATTAAATATTTAACTACCTGTCAGATGTGTCAGAGACAGGTGGACAATGCGAGAACCAATCATTTTATTTATAAGAAAGGAGTGGGCCCATTCAAACTTTTTTTTTTTTTTTCTTTTTCCTTTTTCAAAATTCAAATTCAAGCCCACTTTAAATATTTTCTTTTTGATAAAGGGTAAAATTGTCAATGTCCAAGAACTCGTAAGAGCCTTAAAGCTTAAAGGTCGTACTAAAGTCAAACGAATTATAGCTCGTCTAACCAAACTTATAATCGACTATACACCAACTACGTAAAACTTGTCTCGTCAACTTGATATCAGACTAACTAGACTAGCTATACAAAATTCGTCTTGCCAATAGCTTAGCTTTTCAAGCGAATGCTAAGCTTAGGCCAAGGTCATTACTTACCCAACATAATGTCGATATGGTCTCGGTTCATTCATATACCCTTTTTATACTCGAGTGTCACAATAAATTTATAAAATGGTTTCTAGTATTTATACGAACGTTTCAACGCGATACTGTAATTTAGTTAAACGAGAGAATTAAGTAAGTAATTATTTTTTAAATGATATGAAATGAGACAAAAAGAAATTATCATAATTGAAAAAAATAATTTAGAATTATATTTTGGGAGTGGTGCCTTTCACATTCATGATATACTTTTACGACGCCGTTTTGAAAAGCCATATTCCCCATCATTGCACATGCTTTGTGAAACATTCCTGCCTTTATCCACGACCCTCCCCGCCTTCACTTCTCACCGTTGGATCTATTGCGCGGGAAAACCCCATCCGACGGCTCACCTTCCTCCCTACTGGCGGGAAATTAACGGAGGGAAAAATAAATAAACTCCCGATTTTTTTTTTCTTTATTTATTTTTTAAACTTAAAAGTAAATTTTAGATTTATTCTATTTTTTTTAAAAAAATATACGTTATACACAAAATTAAAAATTAAATTTTTTATCTATTAACTTCCAAATATTTAAAAATTCCCAATAAATTTATTAAAAAAATTTGAACTATAATTTTTTTTAAAAATTAATTCAATTTTAATTCTAGCTACGTAATTATATATATATATATATATATATAGATTTTGGGGAGTATTTATTGAGTGTGGCGGAGATATACGACAACACCGACGGCAGGTAGAGATGTGGGGCCCGCATTTGGAAAAAACAAATTGGTTTTTTCTTTATTATTTTAAAAAAATTATTTTGATTTAATGTTTTTTATACGTGAAATTACGAAAAAGCCCACCCTGCTTCCACCTAATTCAATGGTTTTTTCTTCATTTTTTTTTATTTTGGTAAAAAAAAAAAAGAACATAATTTCTTTAAAAATCCTTTAATATTTAATTTTAAAAAAACACAAAAATTCAAGAAAACTGTCTTTTCAAGTAATTATTTTTAAATAACAAAAAATAAATAGTAGGGGTAATTTGGTAATTGTGGAAGGTAGTGGGTTACAGCAAAGGTCAACAAGTCAACTCCCAGGAGTATTGGGAGTATCATGCTGCAAACCCGCTCCCCCACCAAGTGCATGATTATCAAAACCTCTTTCTTACGTGTCGTTCTCTCATTGGTCTGTGACGGGTCGTCGGGATCCATAGCATCACCAACCACTAAAACATTATCTGTCCTTTTCCTCTCGCTCTGCTCTTTGCTTTCACTCGCAAAGCGCAAACACTCCCTTTCGCCGTGTTTTTTCTCAGCGAAAAAATCCCAAAAAATTTCCCACTGATCTCTCAAATTCCCACTGTTCTGTTCCCCATTGCATGGCCTTTCTTCTACGTCGATTCTTCCATTTTCATATGTGAATTTCTTCTCTGTTTTTCCCCTTTTTGAGAATCTCCATTTCAGTTTCAGAGATTTGGAAATGATTGAAGCTGTGCAGAGTTCCATCAATGGCGCTTTCTCGCAGTTTCAGAGCTGTGGGGATAGCAGCGAGGAGGAGCTTTCGGTTCTTCCTCGCCATACTAAGGTCGTCGTTACCGGAAATAATCGGACCAAATCGGTTCTCGTTGGACTTCATGGCGTCGTCAAGAAAGCCGTCGGTCTTGGCGGCTGGCATTGGCTGGTATGGATTCTATTAGAAACATTGAATTTCTTTGGATTCTCATTGAATTTCTAGATTCTGTGGTTTTCTAGGGTTAATTTCATGTTTTCTTATCAATGTCTGGTCAATTTCTTGCGTTTTTCAGTTCAATTTTGTGTTTCAGATCTTGATTTGTTGATTTTATTTGGGGTTTAGATCGTGTCTCATTGAATTCTAGATTCGAATTCTCCAATTTCTATCTTCTTCTCTTTAGTTGCATGTTTATTTAATCATTGGATCTCGTAATTGTGATAGCTTTTTCATGATTGCTTTGCTTATTAACTTTTGTTTATGCTGATTTAATTTGTTAGATGGAATCATGAGGGGTTTTGATTGTTAGGACTGTAAGTTTTGATAATTTTTCATGAATGTGGGTTTGAATTGAGGGGAAATGCAGGTTTTAACAAATGGTATAGAGGTGAAACTACAGCGGAATGCGCTTAGTGTGATCGAGGCTCCAACGGGCAATGAAGAAGACGATGAACTCGAATTCGAGAACTCGACATGGAATGGATTGGATATGGGTGAGTTTTGCATCTGCTGATGGTTCAATGTCTTTGCTCAATCATTCTTCCTTTGCTATTTTTGTTAGCCGTCTTAGAATTGAGTTTATCCTATGATTGTTGATTGTTTGTGTCTTGTGTCTGGCTGTTTTTGGATTTATGTCTTGTTTCTTTCTCTTATTTACTTGTTAGGAGTTAATGATTTGATCATTTGAAGTGAGGATCATTTTTTGCCCCACCCACCGTACCCCTTTTTGTTGTTGTGGTTTTTATTTCGGTTGGAGAGGAGAACGAAACATTCTTTATAAGGGTGTGAAAACCTCTCTCTAGTAGACACATTTTAAAAACCGTCAAGTTGACGGCGATACATAACCAGCCAAAGAGTCACTAGTGGTAGGTTTGGGGGGTTACAAATAGTATTAGAGCTAGACACTGGGCAGTGTGCCTGTGAGGATGCTGGGCCCCCAAGGGGGTGGATTGTGAGATCTCATATCGGTTAGAGAGAACGAAACATTCCTTATAAGGATGTGGAAACCTCTCTCTAGTAGACATGTTTTAAAAACCGTGAGGCTGATGACAATACGTAACGAGCCAAAATGGAGCATATTTGCTAGCGGTGGGTTTGAGAGGTTACAAATGATATCAGAGCCAGACACCGTGCGGTGTGCCAGCGAAGATGCTGGACCCCAAGCGGGGTGGATTGTGAGATCCCACATCGGTTAGAGAGAGGAACGAAACATTCCTTATAAGGCTGGTCAAAGCAAACAATATCGGCTAGCGGTGGGTTTGTCATGTTTTAGTTTCGAGTCTACCGTGATTAAAACATAAGAACTTTAACCTTTACAAGTATCTTCACTCCAATTCTTGAAAAGGGTTTCGAAAACGAAAATAAGTTGTAAATTCTTCTCCGACCAGAAGTTGTGGCATTAGGTTGCTATTGATGACAACATAGGATCCTTTGTGAGCTCACTTTATATTTTGTCTTGAATTGTTGTTCTCTTCATGTTCTTTATCCTTTTCTGACCCTTTATCACTCATTCACGATAATGCTTTCAACTATTCATTATTCTCAGCATCTGATGACGCCCAAAAATCCCACAAATCAAGGCATAAATTTCACAAATCATGTGGGTCATCTAACAAGACTATAAGCAGATCGCTTTCCTGCGACTCACAGTCAAAGAGCTCGGTTTCTGCACCGCAACGATCCATGGTATATTCCTAAAATGGTTTGCACGTCAAAACGTGTTTAGCCTCCTCGTTTGAATCAATTCCCTGATGTATTATCTCTTCCTATGTAGAGGGTTGACCTTAGTAAACTAGAGATGACTGCATTGTGGAGATATTGGCGACACTTCAATCTCGTAAGTTTTGAAGGTCGATTCGGTTCAATAGTCGTTACTAAGAAATCTCATTCTTGACACCGAGATTGATGGGTTTGTGCAGGTTGATGCCTTTCCCAACCCGTCGAAAGAGCAATTAGTAGATCTAGTTCAAAGGCATTTCATGTCACTGGTACCCGACCACGCCTTACTTCCTAAAAACACTATCAAACGATCCTATTTTCACATGGATCGAAACCGTTTTTCCTTCTATCTATTGACGATTTCTTTCTTTTTCGGTTGCGAAGCAACTGGATGAGTTGCAGGTTATAATGGGTTTTGTGAAGGCTGCAAAGAGACTGAAAACAGTGTGCAAATGAGAGGAGAAGAACTGGGGAATCCTTTGAGTTGATTCTCATGCTAACAGATAATTCAGGTGAATGAGAAGTGTTTAGGTTCTCTCTGTAACATATGGATCGATCGATCGGAAATGGGTTTTGTGGGTCGAGATCGGAACGGGTTAGTATGATTCTGTTGTAGTTAATAGAGTAATATCTTGTTTTAGTGACGATGTTACTTGCAGTGTAGATATGTGTAAACTGCAAATATTAGAGACCAAAAAACATGTTTCTAAGCTTTTGTTTAATGTAATGCTGACTGACTTTAGGGGTGTTTTGATTGCCCAAAAAATGTACAAATTTTGCTGTTCCATATCCTAATGTTATGAGTTTTATCTACATTGTTTCTTCTGTTCATTATGCCTCTTTGCTAATCGTCGCCCGGAGATGAAGCATTTCGGCGAATCTCCCTTGCGTCGGACTCTCTGGTTCAAGTGTAAAAACCGTAGCTCCTTCCGTACCTGGTTCTTCGAGGAAGAACCTTCGTAGAATCTGGAACGACTAACGTTCTTTTGGAACTTGGACGAATTGGAACCTTTGTTCGAGACTTCAAACTTATGGGGTGATGGCAAACTAAAGTTCATTGGGGATGATGGTGAGCAAATGGGTTTGTGAATAGAGATGTCCACTTTACTTGTGGAGTCGGGGCTTCGCGGGGACTTACTCGGAATGGGGAGGGGATTCCCCGTTTAGATAGAATCCCGCCCCGTTTCATGGACATCTCTATTTATAAACAAAGATTTTTCATCTTTGTTCCTACCTCCTTCATATGGGAAATCAGGGTCGAAGTTAAAGATTCCCAGTTTGAGATCTTGTCCTGACAAAAGAAAAATCTCTCTACCATTTTTATTTTTAACTATATTTTAATTACAAATTCACATGACTTATGCTATCACGACTCTAGTGGACCCGAAACATTACATTTTTTTAGTCTCTCACTCTTTTTTCATGAACGTTTATCATTTTCATACAAATCTTCTGTATATCTAACCCTCCGAACATATATTACTTTTGTGCACACATCAAATCTTTTAGGTATGCATCATTTTTCGTTAATCTTCTCACTTTTTCTAAACCAATCCATAAATGAAAATTTAATGCTATATGAAAATGTGGGACATTACAATCTTCTCACTTTAGAAAAATTGGTCCTTGAAAATCTCTAGTCCAACAACTCTAGATATTTACCTCAAATCTCATATTTTCTTTCTCAGGTCTCATTTTTAGTCCTTACAATACCTCCACAGAATGTTTACCAATTAGAGTACCGACACCCTCAAAACCTTGGTCTCTTTACCCACAACAAAAGTTCGACAATGACCCATGAAAATGTAGTCACCCATATTAAAATTAACTCCCCGTGTCTAAACATGTCTTCTTGCTTATCGTTGAATACTATGTGCAAGTTTCTTTAGTATAACTCTTTTCTTTTCCATAAATGACACTGATTGTTAATGTCAAAATTTGAATAGGAAATTGCACCCGATCTCATGTGATGAGAGGTGAAGAACATAACCTGGAAAAGGAAAAGAAATTGCACACCAGATTGAACCAAGAGCATGTGTGACTATCACGGTTATGCTTGTCTAAGGTGTGTTGTTCACGGCTGCATACTTGTTCCAAACCGTTTTTACATGCTTTCATATTAGATAGGTCTTTACTATTTCATGTTGTGTCAATATGAGGGTGTATGACCGTTCAACAAAATCATATCTACACTCACTAAGACTAAAATGCCCCAAAATGTACTATAGAAGGATGCGACTCTTCCTATCCTAAATTATATGCTATTTAAGTTGTGTGCTTTATTCAACTCTTTCAAATGTATTTCCTCACTCATGTTTTCTAGAACATTTTCCGCAAACGCGACTCGAGACTCAAGTATACAACGGCGTTGTCCGCAACGTCCAAATTTGTAACGACCCAGATCCACCACTAGTAGATATTGTCCTCTTTAGGCTTTCCTTTTCGGGCTTTCCCTCAAGGCTTTAAAACGCGTATATTAGGGGAGAGGTTTCCACACCCTTCTTATAAAGAGTGTTTTATTCTCCTCCCCAACCAATGTGGGACATCACAATCCACTCCCCTTCGTGGCCCAACGTCCTCGCTGGCACTCGTTCCTTTCTCTGATCCATGTAGGACCCCCTCCAAATCCACCCCCCTTTGGGGCCAGCGTCCTTACTGGCACACCGCCTTGTGTCTACCTCCTTCGGAGAACAGCGAGAAGGCTGTCACATCATCCAGTGTCTGACTCTGATACCATTTTGGGCTATTTTAGAATTTCTCACACCTAAATTGTTCGCCAGGTTAGAACAAGTGTTGCACAATCACTTTTTCCCACTGGCGTAAGAATGCAATTGTGACACGTGGCACATTCTCCAATAAGAGGCCAACCATAGGTTTGACCTCGACATGGATTTAGGTTTTTCTCTTCTTCTTTGCTTCATAACTCGTCTTTTATATATATGTGCGTGTGTATTATAACAATATTTAGTGGTTAGATATTCTTATTCTGTTATCTTTAATAATATTTTGGGAAGAATGGATTAAAATATTAAAGTTATTTATATCTAATTAGGATAATTTGGTGTACCAACTCATTAATATTTATAAAAAAAAAACAATACATCTATATTATAATAAAACAATATTAAAAATAAAAAATAATAAAAAACCAATATCTGAAAGTCAAAGCTACAAATTTAATTAATAAAGAAATTTCAGAAATTAGGATAAGGGGTCATGTCCAGACTCCTTGAGATGGGGAAACTGGGCCCAATGGCTAAGGCCCACTTCCTTCTATTTTGTCAATGGAATTGGAATAGAAATATAAAGTAATTGAATAATAATTTAGAGGTGGTTTGACAGCCTTTTCAAAAATATATATTTTTTATTTTTCTATTTTTTCTAAAATAAAATAACACCAATATTCTTTCCTTCAAATATATTATATTATAGTTCTAAAATAAACAATTATATATTTTAATCATAGCTCTAAAAAATTATGTTAGGAATGGGAATTTGAATTTTAAAAAATGATAGTAGTGGAACATTATAATTATATTCTTCTTTATTATACATACTATTTTATAATTTTTTATATTTATAATTATAAAAAAAATATCTATAAGAAAAAATAAATTTCTAAATATTGATGAAAACTGAAATAGGTGATGGGAACGACACTCAAATAATTTAAAGTAAATAAATGTTTTTATTTCTAAACCCATTTTTTATTTATTGTTATATCCTTTAAATCCTACTTTTAATCACCAAAACTCTAATAATGCTCTTATTTCTTAACTTTTTTAACCAACATTTTTGTTTGGTTTAAAAATTAAAGCTAGGAGGACTAAGTATTACCAAAATTAACCTATAACTAACCCATAATCGAAGTCACTATAACAGCCAAAATCCACAGCTAGCACATATTGTCTTGTTTGGATTTTTCCATTGTTTTCCCTCAAGGTTTTTAAAGCGTGCATGCAAGGGAGAGGTTTTCATACCTTTACAAACAATGTTTCGTAAGTCAATTAGAGATGCAAGTTTAAAGTTTATGCTAACTATATAATAGACAAAACCCACCGCCAGCACATATTGTCTTGTTTGGGTTTTCTCGGGAGAAGTTTTCACATCCTTGTAAAGAATGTTTCGTTTCCTCCCTAACTGACGTGGAATCTCAGATAGAAATTGAATTAAATGGATGAACAAAATGTCTAGAAGAATAGAAAGTGGAATCTAGACAACCTAATGGGAGGCTAAAAGTTCATTTGGTAGAATGATGTCACCCAACAACTCTCACCAGATTAAGCTCAACAAATTAGACCAAAACATTATTGTTATTGGGAAATAGCTAAGGGGAAATAGCTAAGGGGAAATTAATTGGCTTGCTTGATTCTCATCACTTTTCTTTTCCCAGATTTCACATCCTCCAATTCTTACATTCAAAAACTTTATCATCACTTTCACCTAACTTTTCTTCGCCCTTCACTTTCTCAGGAAAATAATGGTGGAAAAGTGGTAGCTGGAAAGCATATAGAACGTGAGAATCAGTTCAGCAACCTTCAGAATTGATTCAACTACTCCCAACAATTTCTAGGACAACTAACAGATAAAGGAATTAGAAAAGAAAGAACAGTTTGATCTTATGGAATGAACTGTTTGTTTGGATGATTTGAATATGCATATGGGTATAGGTAACAGCCCAAGCCCCGCCACTCGTAGATATTATCTTTTTTTTGGTTTTCCCTCAAGGGAGAGGTTTCTACCTTCTTAAAAGAATAATTCGTTCTCCTCCCCAACCGACATGAGATCTCACAGTGTAATGTCCTCTTTGGGCTTTTCCTTTCGGGCTTCCCCTCAAGGCTTTAAAATGCGTCTGTTAGGGGAAGGTTTCCACACGCTTATAAATGGTAGTTTGTTCTCCTCCCTAACCAATGTAGGACATCACAATCCACCCCCCTTCGGGGCCCAGCATCCTCGCTGGCACTCTTTCCTTCCATCAATCATGTGAGACCGCCCCCAAATTCACCCCCCTTGGGGCCCAGTGTCCTTACTGGCACACCGCCTCATGTCTACCCCTCTTCGGGGAACAGCGAGAAGGCTGGCACATCGTCCGGTGTCTGACTCTGATACCATTTGTAACGACCCAGATCCACCACTAGCAGATATTGTTCTCTTTGGGATTTCCCTTTCGGGCTTCCCCTCAAGGCTTTAAAACGCGTCTGTTAGGGGAAGGTTTCCACGCCCTTATAAATGGTGGTTTGTTTTCCTCCCCAACCAATGTGGGACATCACAAAATGAATCGAGCTAGATTCATATCTGGGTGTATTTTTCAAATAGATCTGGAGGAAAATAACAGGAGATTCAAGCTAGTGGGTAAATTCTAAACAGGGGGCTGTAGATACCAATAATTGATATTAGAATTAGACAGACAAGCTAATGAAATAAACCTTAGATGGGCGCATGAGTTGCAGTCAAATCCTTCCACTCAGCAAATTGTTCAACTAAAGAAAAAGTGGTGGGTTGGATCCAAAATGTCTCTTTCCATAGTCAAGATATACCCAAAAACAAATTATAAGAAACAGAGCCACTGTCTACATCCTAAAAACATTGTTTTTCTCTCTGGCATTTTCACAAACACCTTCCGTACCTAGAATTTTATGCGGATTTTTTTCCTCCCCACTTAACACTCCACACTAAATTTCAATGGTGGATTACTGTAAACAATTCAAATTATTCAGATCACATGGCCTCTTACAAACCTTGTTTTTCTCCTTGGCATTTTCACAAACACCTTCCCTACATAGAATTTCAT